CCCTCTGTCTGATGGTTATTATTCGGCTGTCGCTACGCAAGCAACCGAGCATGCTATGGGCCATTTGTGCCAAGGAATGCGAGGGACTCCCTGCCTCCATCTCCACAGCATACTGCCACGGTGCGTCTGGGTCCTCTGTCTCCTCCTCCCTCCTCTACCAGATGCTCCTGCTCCTCCACTCATGTTCGCTGAGTGGAAAAACCACCCATTTCACTCAATAATTCCTGAGCACCAATGTCCTCCTCTACCTCCTCCTCTTCTTCCTGTCCTGCCCCCACAGGGGTCATGTGGCGTTGAGATCTGTGCGCCACGTCTACCGCACCCTGACCAGCCATTGTTAACAGCATTTGTTCCAGGACGTGCAGCAGAGGAATGACGTCGTTCATCCCATAGTCCTGCCGACTCACGAATAGCGTGGCCCTCCTCAAAGGGCCTGAGCAAGCGGCAGGTGTCACGCATGAGCTGCCAATGGCTGACATCTAAGTTACACATGGGAGTACCTTTATCCCGCTTGTAACATCAGGAAATCGGTGATGGGCCTTTCGCTGCTCGTAAAGGCGGTCTACCATGTGTAGGGTTGAATTCCACCTTGTTGCAACGTCGCAGATCAGGCGATGATGTGATATTCCGTTCTGCCGCTGCAGCTCAAGGAGGGTGTTCTTTGCGGTGTAGGAATGGCTGAAATGCATGCAAAGTTTACGTGACATTTTAAGGATGTCTTGCAGTGGGATGGTGGATTTTAGGAACCGCTTGACAACCAGATTGAACACGTGAGCCATGCATGGCGCATGGCACAACCTTCCTTGACGCAGAGCAGACACCATGTTCTTTCCGTTGTCGGTCAACATGGTTCCGATTTTCAGTTTGCGCGGAGACAGCCATCTGTCGATTTCTCTGTTCATTACACTCAGAAGTTCCTCCCCTGTGTGACTACGTTCGCCAAGGCATACCAGGTGCAGCACAGCGTGACACCGTTGCGCCCTGCACATGTGATATGCCGGTCGGGTAATGGGACTTGGCACGGGGGGTGGCGGCTGAGGACACGGCGGAAGAAGAGGTGGTAGAGGCGGACATCTTTTGTGGACCAAGGACGTGCAAACGTGGAGGCAAAAGCGGCGTGACCTGTCCAAGTTGCTGGTGCGGCTGTGCCGGCACCACGTTCACCCAGTGGGCCGTAAATGACATGTACTGTCCCTGACCGTAGTTACAGCTCCACACGTCGGCGCTGCCGTGCACTTTGGCAGAGACCGACATGCTCAAAGACTGGCCCACCATCTCTTCTACATGTGAATGCAGGGCTGGCACTGCCTTTTTGGTGAAGAAATGACGGCTTGGCACTCTCCACCGCGGCTCGGCACAAGCCATCATTTCTCGGAAAGTTGCTGAGTCCACCACTTGGAAGAGGAGTAGCAAGAGAAGGAGCATCTGAACGAGCGGAAGATGCCAACGAGCGACAACTCCCCTCAGCAGAGGTGTTGGAGCCTTGACTGGCTGATAGAGGGTGATTGACGTCGGGTGATGGAGCAAGTAACGGAGCGGGTGATGGAGCGGGGACTGGGGCAGGCAGAACCGCCGTATCTTTATCACGGTTTTTCCCAGGCCACCGAATGGCGACGCTGCATATGCTGACGCAACGCTGTAGTCCCAACATTGGCCCCCTGGCCACGCTTGACTTTCTGGCCACATAGTCGACATACGGCTACGTTTACTTCCTCGGGCGGCTTGACGAAAAATTGCCACACCGCCGAGTAGGAAACTTTGCCCCCGCTACTCCTCACTGGCTGACTGCTACTTCCTCCGTGCACACCGGCACCACTACTGGCCGTGGTGGTAGGCTGCAGTGGAGCTGGTGCTCTACTCCGTGGCCGTTTGCCTCCACTGACACTGCTGCGACCCTGCTGCCTCCTGGGCAACCCACCGACTGTTTTGCTCGCTGCCAAGCTGGCACCCTCTTCTCCTGATGATGCGGAAGCAATAGCCTGATGACGACGAGGCTGCCAAGTGCGATCAGCCTCATCATCATCAATTAGGGTCTCCGCCTCACTACTAGCCCCCTCGGCTGCGTGTGGGTCAGGAGACAGACCTGTCTCTAGACCGGCTACCGAGCCACTCTCCTCGCCACTACTTCTTCGCCTGGCTGCTGAAAAGGCGGATGTCTCCCCCCGTTCCTGACCGCCCTCTGTTAGCTCTTCCTCACTGTACAGTGGGGCTGAGCCCACAGCATGCGATACTTCGCTTGGTGAGGGAACACCAAAGGACAGGGGCAGGTAGAGGACACGTGATTTCAGTGGGCTTGCTCCCGGGCCATGCCAACTAACGGTTGTGTCTGACGTACCCACCGACCGTTGGCTGTAGGTGTCAGAGGTGACCTGGGAAGAGGAAGACGACCGAGCCAACCAATCGATGACGGCAGGGTTGTCGGTGGAGACACGACCGCTGGATGACACCGGAGCACTGGCCTCTGGCTGCAAATAGTGCTGCCTCGACCCCTTCCTCTGCTGCCACGTCTGCTCGCTCCTAAAACATTGCCTCCTCTGCCACTCCTCTGCATGTTGTCTGACATACTCTTTAATTCAACGATTCTGTGTCCCTGAGTAACAATTCTGTGTCCCTGAGTAACAATTCTATGTCCCTCAGTAACGATTCTGTGTCCCTCAGTAACAATTCTGTGTCCCTGAATAACAATTCTGTGTCTGTCCCTGAGTAACAATTCTGTGTCCCTGAGTAACAATTCTGTGTCCCTGAGTAACAATTCTGTATCCCTGAGTAACAATTCTGTGTCCCTCAGTAACAATTCTGTGTCCCTCAGTAACATTTCTGTGTCCCTCAGTAACAATTCTGTGTCCCTCTAACAATTTTGTGTCTGTCCCTGAGTAACAATTCTGTGTCCCTGAGTAACAATTCTGTGTCCCTGAGTAACAGTTCTGTGTCCCTCAGTAACAATTCTGTGTCCCTCAGTAACAATTCTGTGTCCCTCAGTAACAATTCTGTGTCTGTCCCTGAGTAACAATTCTGTGTCCCTGAGTAACAATTCTGTGTCCCTCAGTAACAATTCTGTGTCCCTCAGTAACAATTCTGTGTCCCTCAGTAACAAATTCTGTGTCTGTCCCTGAGTAACAATTCTGTGTCCCTGAGTAACAATTCTGTGTCCCTGAGTAACAATTCTGTGTCCCTCAGTAACAATTCTGTGTCCCTCAGTAACAATTCTGTGTCTGTCCCTGAGTAACAATTCTGTGTCCCTGAGTAACAATTCTGTGTCCCTGAGTAACAATTCTGTGTCCCTCAGTAACAATTCTGTGTCCTGAGTAACAATTCTGTGTCCCCTGAGTAACAATTCTGTGTCTGTCCCTGAGTAACAATTCTGTGTCCCTCAGTAACAATTCTGTGTCCCTGAGTAACAATTCTGTGTCCCCGAGTAACAATTCTGTGTCCCTCAGTAACAATTCTGTGTCCCTCAGTAACAATTCTGTGTCCCTCAGTAACAATTCTGTGTCTGTCCCTGAGTAACAATTCTGTGTCCCTGAGTAACAATTCTGTGTCCCTGAGTAACAATTCTGTGTCCCTCAGTAACAATTCTGTGTCCCTCAGCAACAATTCTGTGTCCCTCAGTAACAATTCTGTGTCTGTCCCTGAGTAACAATTCTGTGTCCCTGAGTAACAATTCTGTGTCCCTCAGTAACAATTCTGTGTCCCTCAGTAACAATTCTGTGTCTGTCCCTGAGTAACAATTCTGTGTCCCTCAGTAACAATTCTGTGTCTGTCCCTGAGTAACAATTCTGTGTCCCTGAGTAACAATTCTGTGTCCTTGAGTAACAATTCTGTGTCCCTCAGTAACAATTCTGTGTCCCTCAGTAACAATTCTGTGTCCCTCAGTAACAATTCTGTGTCTGTCCCTGAGTAACAATTCTGTGTCCCTGAGTAACAATTCTGTGTCCCTCAGTAACAATTCTGTGTCTGTCCCTGAGTAACAATTCTGTGTCTGTCCCTGAGTAACAATCCTCTGTCCCTGAGTAACAATTCTGTGTCCCTCAGTAACAATTCTGTGTCCCTCAGTAACAATTCTGTGTCCCTCAGTAACAATTCTGTGTCCCTCAGTAACAATTCTGTGTCTGTCCCTGAGTAACAATTCTGTGTCCCTGAGTAACAATTCTGTGTCCCTGAGTAACAATTATGTGTCCCTCAGTAACAATTCTGTGTCCCTCAGTAACAATTCTGTGTCTGTCCCTGAGTAACAATTCTGTGTCCCTGAGTAACAATTCTGTGTCCCCTGAGTAACAATTCTGTGTCCCTGAGTAACAATTATGTGTCCCTCAGTAACAATTCTGTGTCCCTCAGTAACAATTCTGTGTCCCTCAGTAACAATTCTGTGTCTGTCCCTGAGTAACAATTCTGTGTCCCTGAGTAACAATTCTGTGTCCCTGAGTAACAATTCTGTGTCCCTCAGTAACAATTCTGTGTCCCTCAGTAACAATTCTGTGTCCCTCAGTAACAATTCTGTGTCTGTCCCTGAGTAACAATTCTGTGTCCCTGAGTAACAGTTCTGTGTCCCTGAGTAACAATTCTGTGTCCCTAAGTAACGATTCTGTGTCCCTCAGTAACGATTCTGTGGCCCTAAAGTCTCTGTGGCCCTAACTCTGTCCCTGATACACAGAGGTCTGTCTCTCTTGAATGACCGGAGGATAATGGAGACATGTAAGATGGCCGCAATTTATAGCTCCACCATTACACAGTGCTGGCTGGCTGCTGATTGGCTAATGCGATCACATGTCATGAATGAATGCAATATGGGTCAGCGCGCCTTGTCTGCGCGCCTTCCCAGAGATCCCCGCTCCGTCGCCGCACATGTCGCCGCCATTTTTGGGAAAATTCGATTCGTGCATCCGAAGTTGGCTAATTTTCGGATTCGGCGCGAAACGAATATTTCCCAATATTTAAAACGAATTCCACTTCGCCATGTTCGATTCGCTCATCTCTAGTCCTGACATTTGGGGGATATCTGTACTGTCCTGACATTTGGGAGATATCTGTACTGTTCTGACATTTGGGGGGATATCTGTACTGTCCTGACATTTGGGGGATATCTGTACTGTTCTGACATTTGGGGGATATCTGTACTGTCCTGACATTTGGGGATATCTTTACTGTCCTGACATTTGGGGGGATATCTGTCCTGTCCCGACATTTGGGGGATATCTGTACCGTCCTGACATTTGGGGGATATCTGTACCGTCCTGACATTTGGGGGATATCTGTACCGTTCTGACATTTGGGGGATATCTGTACCGTCCTGACATTTGGGGGATATCTGTACCGTCCTGACATTTGGGGGATATCTGTACCGTCCTGACATTTGGGGGATATCTGTACTGTCCTGACATTTGGGGGATATCTGTACCGTCCTGACATTTGGGGGATATCTGTACCGTCCCTGACATTTGGGGGGATATCTGTACTGTCCTGACATTTGGGGGATATCTGTACTGTTCTGACATTTGGGGGATATCTGTACCGTTCTGACATTTGGGGGATATCTGTACCGTCCTGACATTTGGGGGATATCTGTACTGTTCTGACATTTGGGAGGCGATCAGTGACTTATGGCAGCGATCAGTGACTTATGGCGGCGATCAATGACTTATGGTGGCGATCAATGACTTATGGTGGCGATCAATGACTTATGGTGGCGATCAGTGACTTATGGCGGGACTGCGGCGGACATTCTGACATTGGGGGGTACTGACTTGGGGTCACTGACATCCCCAGTGACACCACTACAGTGATCAGTGCAAAAAAAACACTGACACTGTACTAATGGCACTGGGGAGGAAGGGGTTAACTTTTTTATTCGCTGAAAGGGTTAACTGTGTGAGGGGCGTGGTTTTACTAGGGGGCGGGGGCGGGGCGGGGGGGTGTGTACTGCACGGAACAGATAAACTCTCCTCTCCAGATCAGCATGTCAGGAGCTGACAGGGAACTGACAGAAAGCACAGCTACTGCAGCCCTGCTCTCTGTCAGCGATTGCCGCTAATCGCCGGGACACGGCAGGTAATGACCACAATTTTCCCCCACATTGCCCCTTGGGTTTATGGGTAATTACTGTCATTTGGTGCCGGATATCAGCCATCACTGCATAGTATATAATACCTTGTGACCAGGGGCGGACTGACCGTTTGGGAAGTTGGGCACCACCACGAGGTCCCGGGGTCAGTAGGGTCCCCATGAGTTGTCAGTCCGCCCCTGCTTGTGGTAGAATTTTTTGACACGTCCTCTACTGGTGGTGTGACCGATGTGTCGGTGCTGCAAGTGTATGAGACCGTCCCTGTCACTATATATGCAGGACTCCATTATAAAGGCCGGTCCTGATGTTGCTTCTCTGTGATTTGCGGTCTTTCTGTATGATGTCATCCTGCGGTGATGGTGAGTCGGGTATTTCCCTCATTATTTATTCAGAATGTGTAATAAAGTATCATTTATGGAACTACTTTGTAGTATCGCACTCTGTCCATGATGGAACCACTTTTTTGTGAATCTCTTTTCACGGTCCCTTTTTTTGTAACCCCATCAGAGTCCCCCCTTACATCAGGGTCCCCATCAGAGTCCCCCCTTACATCAGGGACCTATCATTCCCCCCGTCACATCAGGGTCCCCATCAGAGCCCCCTTTACATTCAGGGTCCCCATCAGAGTCCCCCCTTACATCAGGGTCCCTATTAGAGCCCCCCCTATTTTAGGGTCCCCATAAGAGTCCCTCCTTAGATCAAGGTCCCCATCATAGTCCCCCCTTACATCAGGGTCCCCATCATTCCCCCTTTACATCAGGGTCCCCATCAGAGTCCCCCCTTACATCAGGGTCCCTATCAGAGTCCCCCCTTATATAAGGATCCCCATCAGAGTCCCCCCTTACATTAGGTTCCCCATCAGAGTCTCTCCTTACATCAGAGTCCCCATCAGAGCTCCCCTTACATCAGAGTCCCCATCAGAGCCCCCTTACATCAGGGTCCCCATCAGAGCCCCCGTCACCCAATATTTGGTCTCCATTCAGTAGCCAAAAGAGGCATTCAAAAAAAGGGGATTTGTGAAAAGAAATTCACAGAGAAAGCGGCTACATTATGAACAGAACGTGACACTCAGAAAAATTTCCAAAAATTATGCTTTATTACACATATATAAATATGACATATGGGCGTTCGCCCTGGTTTACCATCACCTCAGTATGAGACAATACACACAGACCTAAAACCATATAAAATGACACCAAGACCGGTCTAAATGCATGTGCAACAGAAAAAATGACTGCAGGAGTCTAATGTCCCTGTAGCACAGACACATAGGTGAACACTTCCCAAAAGAGGTGTATCCAAAAATTATACCATAGGCATACCATAATATTGAATATTATAAATAGAACAATACCATTATGGTGAATCCCAATCAGGGAATCCAAAAATTGTACTATGGATATAAGTATCACATGTATGCAATGCAGCAAGCACAATATGCGTCAAGAAGAGAACAACAAGCCTCAGGCCTGTATGGAGGGAGACATAAATGTCAAATATATGATGCAATACATTCCTGTGCCGGCACAAGTGGTTGGGGCCCATTCATCTGTAATATAAACAGCTGTATCCTAGAGCTCTTGAATGAAAATATGCCCCATTTATTCCCAGGGTGGAAGAAAAGATGCAAAAAGCAGCACTCTGCTTGAAATGGTATCTTCACCACTATATGTGGACTACACACCACCTTTCGTAGGGAAAACAGGACATATCCCAAAAGATCTTCTGCCCGTTGAGATATATGTGGTATATCCTGTATCCTATACAAAGCACCATGATGTCCCCATCCTGTAGTGAGATAAATGATATGTGGGAAGTCACTGACAGAGTTTACACTCAATAAGATATATAGGTCATATAGATCACAGAGGACCATATATCTAATGTCCTGTAACAGTCCACTCACCACCTGTGCTGTGGGTATTAGGAATGAAAGAGATGTCCTTCATGGGTACTGCCATACACGGCCACAGAGGCCTAGGAACCACCGCTGACATCCGCCGATATACCGCGGGTTCCAGCCCCTTCTTGGCGCTTGTGCTGCTCACACTTGCCTCATGGCATGTGAAGATGGCTTCCTCCTTATGGGTCAGCGTGCGTTCCACCTAATGCGCATGACCGGAAGTGACGTATCTGACGTATGACGTCAACGCGTTTCGCCGATGGGCGTATCTCACTCAGCTTCGTCAGGACCAATGAAACAACTGCATTTCAATTTCCTATTTATAGTGGGTAAAGACCCACCCATTTATGCAAAAAAGCTAACCTGCAATTGTTCCAAATGGAAGAAAAAAAAGGGGGCTAAATACTTAGCACAACTGCTGGTCTTTGTTGAATATAATTAAAAAGACAGACGGCTGGAGACAACAGAGAGGGGAGAGGCTTAGCAATTTTAACAATGCATATATTGATCAAAAGATCATGAATTAAATATACCAGTCAATTAACGCTTTTATCACATTTTAACCAGAAGATGGCGATATAAATCAGAGAATCAACAATTCTATTCATTGAATCAGGTTTTTTAGGAGACAATGTAAATTACCAAAAGACACCACAAGATGGCAATATAACCTGAGAGTTCTCATAAGGGTCATTACAACAAAAATACCCCAATTCTCAGGCAACCATCCTATGGTGTGGTTATTATTCAAAAGAGGAGGTACTAAGGGACAATTAACCAGACAATCAATCCTTTTACATTTTTTAGAGCTATATTGAAGCTCATACCATAAGATCATCCATACTTTTGTTAATATTCCCAATATATATAGGTTTATTTTGGGGTTATTTAATCTAAAGTCCAACCCTTTATAAAGAAAAAAAAATGCCGTAAATTGCCCACCGCATGGCAATAAACAGGTACATAGTCCTATAAACCTATTTTTCCAAAAACACTTGGAGGTCACATTCCACATTTAACCCCTTAGGGTACAGTGTATCAAGTTTATATATCCAATGTTTCTCCTTTTTAAGCAGTTCTCTGTCAAAATCACCTCTCCTTTGTGGGAAGTGCAGTGCATAGAAACCTTTTACTTTTGTACCGTCCAGTTTACCTCCATGATATTTGGCGTAATGTTGGGCAAGATTACTGTCAGGGTCATTTGATCTAATGTCTCTAAGATGTTCACCTATTCGTACTTTAAGTTGTCTTTTAGTCTTACCAACATACATCTTTTTACAGGGACAGGTTAAGATATATAATACTCTCACTGTGGAGCAGTTTATGAGACTCTGAATCTTATAATGAGTGTTATTTCCTGAGTCATAAAAGGAATCCGTACGATCCACATATTTGCAGATTTGACATTTTCCACATTTAAACATCCCCTTGGTACGTGATTTTAACCATGTTGTTTGTTTTAATGGTTGATAATCTGAATGAATAAGGAGGTCACCAAGATTTGGTGCTCTTCTTGCTACCATCTGGGGGCGCTCACCTACAATCTTACTCAACCTAGGGCATTGAGTTAGAATCTTCCAATGTTTTTCTAATATCAATTTTACATCTTGCCATTGGGCTCCAAATTGGGTTATCATTCTAACAGGTTGATCACTCGGTTTAGCCTTTACATCCTTTTTAGGAGATAATAAGTCCTCGCGGTCAGTTTGATATGCCCGTCTCCGAGCATTTCTAATTTGGGAGTGGGAATATCCCCTTTCTCTAAATCTTCTATAGAGGTCCTGAGCCTCCATTCTAAAGTCATTGATGTTTGAGCAATTTCTCCGACATCTCAAAAACTGTCCCACTGGAATCCCTGAAATCAGTGAACGTGGATGATAGCTTCTTGCCTCTAGTAGGGTGTTGGCAGCAGTAGGTTTTCTATATGTCTTTGTAAGGAGTCTTCCATTCTCAAGTCTAATCTCCAGATCCAGAAAAGAAATACATCTTTCATCAAATATATATGTGAGTCCAATGTTGAAGGAGTTCTGATTTAACTCTCCCAAAAATAGTTTTAATTCCTCAGATGTTCCTCGCCATACAAGGAACACATCATCTATATATCTTAACCAGATCTGGACATTAGCAAGAAATCTTGATGATCTGAAGACAACCTGCTCCTCCCAAAACCCCAAGTGGAGACATGCGTAGGCTGGAGCCCACGGTGCTCCCATACTGGTACCTCTAGTTTGTTGATAAAAGGTATTGTTAAATTGAAAAAAGTTATGTTTTAATGCAAACTCCAATAACTCACTAATAAATTCGTTCTGTCCTCCCAAAGTAGGATATGTTTTATCAAGAAAATAGGAAACTGATCTCACACCACATTCATGTGGGATAGAGGTGTAAAGTGATTCCACATCTATTCCCACTAGAATGGAGTTATCATTAATGATCATGTTTTCAATCTTAGC